ACGAGACCGAATTGAATTCATTGTCTATTCATGAAATTGGTGAAGCTCACAAGGTATTTGACCGTTTGCAATAAAGATATTACGTTAATCTAGAAGTGACTCATTCACGGATATTAATAGCTCAGAGGCATATTCATGGATAGTGAGATTGGCTTTGGACGCACAACACTGAGTGAGTATAGATGAATACATGTAATGCCCTGATTGGATACACTGCCAATTAGATAGTGCCTCGGAAGTAGAATGAGTACAGTCGTAAGTGATCGTCGCAAATTGCAATGGTAGCGTAGTCGGGAAATTTTTGCTGAGATTTTAACTCACTGATTTGTGGTTTATCGTTGGCGAAGAGATGGCGAATTGCGGTGTATATGATACGATACATCGATGAAACGTTTCATGGCGCGTTTATTTCCATGTCTAGAATCCGTCACCAAGGAACTGCCACCATATTTTACAGTTTTATGCAGATGTAGGAGCGAGAATGAATGCATTTGAGATGATGGCCTCATGAAAAGCTTTTGCTTTTTCGAGGAATCGATGAAATGTCCGATGAAAAGAAGAAATATGATGGGGAAAATGAATTCTGATGAGTGCACTGAAAGAGTGTCCTTTGCATGGTGTTGGCTGGCCACTTGAGTGGTATGCGAGCTGTTCAGTGAAATATCCTCCCGAATCATGGCGTGCTGATGATCCGTTTGATGCTGAATTTTATAAATCATTCATTGTGAGCATGTCAGTGCTGCTTCACATTTCTAGGTCAATGCGAGTGTTCCGTGGTTTCATTGAAATAGCAACACCTCATCATCTAGCAACAGCTATTACACATTCATTATACGAAAAATTTCCGATTGCATGAGAAATTCGTGTAGAATTTCAATCAGTTGAGAATTTGCTCTCAANTATGAAGAAAATTGCTTTGGAGATGATAAATTTACATGAGATGGTTTTTGAGAAATGAAATTGAGAAGAGATTTGATATTGTTGATAGATCAATTGGGAATTGATAGTGATGACTTGATAAACAATGAATGATTGGAATTTCGAATTTCAGAATTCGAATCATCGATTGATCCGGTTTATCTGGCGCTAAAGCAAGCAACCGGTAGATATGGAAGACGAGGCTCATCGGCACAAATGGATTCCACAACACCGTCACCACGCAATCTTTCGGATGCGTCACTGCAAGACTCTGGCTACGCAGAAATTAGCTACAGTCGTGGGCAAATGGCCGGTTCTACGCCACAACTGGATCAGTCAGGTGAGAGCATGAATGCTGTGTTAGGGTCTTTGAATCGTTTAGTTAATTTTAGATCTAGCATGCTGTGAACTGAAAATGATGTTGAGCTCAGACTGTTGTCATATGTTTGTTTAGCTTCTTATTTGCGCGAATTTAATGCTTCTGATGCTATGAATACATCAGTGACGGTGATCGTTCGATTCATGATTCGTGATCAATTTCGATTGAAACAATGCATGCAGATGTCTAGAGCTGTGCTGCGTGATTGTCTGTCTTACATCTAACAACGCTGAGCGCTGATTATCCGGTTATGAAATATCGCAGCAGTGTTCGTTCATTTAGCCTAATGCTCTTGCTGAACCGAAGCGAACTGATTCATTCGAAGACATCAAAAAGTCTATTTTGTTAGCAATAATGTTCGCTTATGCCATAGGTTCCTTATGCTCGCAATTAAGTATCAGTGTGAATTGATCATTACAGCAATTCACTTGAATTTGAGTTTGGCAGTTATTATAGATTCAGGTGGAAGGAAACGTCCACCAAAACTGCATAAGCAAATGAAGTCGCTGTCGCTGGACTGCGCCGATCCAACTCCGATCACCAACACGATGCGTTCAAGTGAGTTTGTTGAAGCAGCTTCGAGCTTTCAACGCTATAATTACCAAGTGACTAGTCCATCGAATAGCTTTTCTCTATCAGTTTGTGGCGTTTGGCTTATGGCCGAGGACAACACCGCAGCTCGTCTGGATGTATAGATTTATCGGTGACATTCTCATGTATATGTTGACGTTCTGATTTCGATTTTAATTTATCGATGTAAATTTATGAATAATCTATCGCTGTTCTGTTGTGAACAAATTTGAAGCAGACAACAGCTTAGATGCGTTCGCATTTAACTACTCAGCTACTGTTCAGATGTGTTTTGAAGTGATCGATTCGGAATTCAGCAATCATTTGATGTCATCCATACAAAGTGCGCTTTAGTAGTGTTCGTCGGAGCGCAATTGCTTGTGCAGAGAGGGGAGGGGTGGGAATGCCGACAAAAAAATCAAAATTGTTGAGGAATGGGGACTCCGACGGGGAACTTGCTCCCCGACGAATGCTAAATTTTAGTTTCATTGTAATTTGTAACTGCTTCAACGAGTTCTGAAATACGTCTTTATTGCAAGTGTTGAATATAAACGCATTACTCGCTCTCAATGCATTTTCTTTTTGAGGAAGCAAATTAGCACCAACTACGGTTCGAAAGAACAGCTCAGATGAAATTTCTGATTGGGACCGAAGCCGTTCGCCATCCGGCCCATCACCGAGGACAACACCGCGTCGAATCAGCTCAGTTGGATGTTCGTTTATCTCGCCATTGATTATTTTTCATTCCGTCGAAAACACATCCAAGCATTTTCTGTGGATTATCATTCAACACTGTAATCATGTCAATATGTAATGAAATTCTTTGTCCTTCCAGGTACTCACGTTGTTATTCACGAATATTTTGCTGGTCCCGAAACTGCATTGTACTTAGGCGATCGCCTTCAGGTGGTTGATAATGGAGACCCGGACTGGCTTCACGGTTTCAAGGTTACACTAACGTTTCAATCAGTTTTCAATATCAGCTTTCAAACAACTGAACTTCAGATGTTATTCGAAATGTGTTTGCGCTCAACGACTGGTATTTGCCGTTAAAAAAAATGAATATTTCTTATCGAAAGCAAGCAGCAAATAGTTCATTGAAGTTCACAATGAGAATGCAATAGAACAAATATTAGTGAGAGTCGAAGTCGTCAAAGGTTTCATGTAACATATTGACGACGTATTTATAGAGCAATGGTCGTTCGGATCGTCTAATCACATTCCCAAGCACTTGTGTAGCACTGGTACAGCCTGGTGAACAAACAATGTTACTGAGACAGAATGTACACATCGCTGAATCGAAGATGCGACTTTATCGAGATCAGGTTCGTTGTCTCGAATGAGTTCTCACTCACTACTAATGAGATGAAGAACGATTTCAAGCAGTGATGTTTTGTGCAATTTCAGGTGGTATTCGCTCAACCTGATAGTCTCAAAGAGGGTCGTGTTCTAGTGCGCACTGAACGAAACGCTTTTGTTCATTGTCCACTGCAGTACTTAATGCTTGTTTGATGATGATGATGATGATGATGATGCATTTTGCACTGTTCATTAGAGTTCTCGATTATTTCACGTGTATATATGAATTTATTGTGATAGACTGGATGAATACTGCAAGGAAGGTCTTTGCATGGGTACACGATGAGCTTTTAGCATTGAGTTGTTCTCGTGAGGTATTCTCATCGTGACAGTGCTTGAATCCTCTGAAGGGTTATAGCGAATCTGTTTTTTATGCTTACCGATTCATTCAATATAGCTCAATTTCGCCATTCAGTTTAGGCGAATAAAGGATTACAGTTCGAGTTGGATAACTTCATTTTTGGTGTGGATAATTTCC